TGTCTTACATTCTGTGGTTGCCAGTTCAATCAGAAGGGTTCTACTAATGATACATAAAATAACGATGCAGCCTGGCCGGTGTGGCTCAGTGGTTGAGCATCAACCTATGAACCAGGAGGTCACGGTTCAATTCCCAGTCAGGGCACATGCCCAAGTTGCAGGCTTGATCCCTAGTCAGGGGCATGCAAGAGGCAGCAATCAGTGATTTCTCTCATTGAAGTTTCTCTTTCTCTCCCTCTCCCTTCCTCTCTGAAATCAGTTTAAAACAGACCTGTGCATTTCAGTTGATGGCATCTTAGATTTTGTGAAGTATGATAAATTCTAAACCACTAAGTATTATAGGAGTTTAGGGATATGTAGATCTATAAGCATCCCAGGATTCAACCAGGGCTTCAAGGACAGGGTGAGACGTGAGCCAGGTTGAAGAAAGAGAGGATTTTGAAGAGAGAAGCACAGGGTCACCTGGAGGTGGAGAACCCACGCAGGAAGGAGAAGCTATGATTGAGAGGCCCAGGTCTGCATGGGATGGGGGAGAGGGAGTGTGAGGAAGCAAAGGGAACTGAGTGGCCAATAACTTGAAATCAGGTTATAAAGGCCTAGAAAGTAGATCGAATGGTGCAGTTTTTAAAAAGGAGCAACTGAAGACTTCTGAGCAGAAGAATAAAAGGTCAGGTCCAACTTCAGTGTGTGCAGTGAACTCAGCTACAGGGGCCAGGTGGATATGTCTGTTTTCAGTGTTTGGTCATCATTGTTAAAGGAAGGAGACACACTGCGCTGGTGCTCAAGGAGGTTATGAGCTCATGGCCGAGCCAGGACAAATTCAAGAGTACTGCATACATGTGAGCCCGTGGTACGGATAAAGGAGCCTCCCCCCAGCCTCTCCTGCAGACCCGGTGGGAGGACGCGCTCACCATATGTTATTGCTCTCCAGCAGCCAGACCTGAATGGCTGACTGCCCTGGACTACAGTGTCTTCCTCCCTTTAAAATCCTACTCTTTCTTCAACCTGGCTCAAATCTCACCTTATCCTTAAAGCCCTTTTGCTCCTGGAATGCTTATAGATCAACATACCCCTGGACTTTTGTTTGTCGTTTGTTTTTCATTTTTTTAAAAAATATTTTATTGATTTCAGAGAGGAAAGGAGAGGGAGAATGAGATAGAAACATCAAAGATGAGAAAGAATCATTGATCAGCTACCTTCAGCATGCCCCCCTACTGGGGATCAAGCCCGCAACTGCCCACAACCAGGGCAAGTGCCCTTGACAGGAAATGAACCTGGGACCCTTCAGTCCACAGGCTGATGCTCTATTCACTGAGTCAAACCGACTATGGCTTTGCTGGACTACTGTTGAAACCAGAGTCAGCCCTCCCAGTCCTGGGCTGCTAACCAGCATCCCTTCCTCACTTCAATTATAGCTTCTCCTTCCTGCTTGGGTCCTTGCCTGCCTGGAGACTGCTGCTGCTAACCCCCAATCCTGACATCTATTTTCCCTGTTAGGTCAGGGTGCTAAGGCTCTAACTTAGAAGCTCGATCTGGGCTCAGATTAAGGAGAGCTTCTCAATAGCTGTGGAATGTAAGTAAAGAATTTATGGATGAAGGCAAGGAGGGGAACCAACAACCAGGCCAAAGAAGTATCAATCCAAAGGAGCCTGGCAGAAAGGAGCCAGCAGCAGGAGGAAGGCTGTAATTGGAGCTTACATTGAGGGAAAGTAGGAGCCGAAGTGAGGATGGAGGTGAAAGCAGCAATGACTTCCCAAGGACTTGAATGTGGAAACAGAACTTCTTATAGGGCCTGTGAGTATAGGGAGAATGGGTAAGGTCACTAAACTGGTTCAGACACCCAGCTCTGTAGGCCCTCAGGCACTATCAGGATTGTTGGTTACTCTGACCACAATCCAGCACAACCCCAGCCTCCTTCCTCACTCCACCCTCACTCATTCATACACTTAATTAACTAACAAATATTTGAGCCTCCACTAGAATATAAACTCCATGCAGGCAGAAACACTATCTTTTCCCTAATTTTAAGGCCTAAAACCCAGAATAATTTCTGGTACATAGTAAGCAGTAGCTATATATTAGTTGAATGCATGAATCATTGATGAATGTTTGAAAATGTGTTGAGTTCTAAAGTATCTCCTGAATTGTGACAATAACCTAGAGTACCAAACACATGTTGCCTGCTGATATTCACCAACAATAAAACTAGAAATTTGAGTAGGGTAGCAGCTATCAGATATTTTCTACATTAAGATCATTTAATTTTTTTCTAAGACAAAAAATAGCATGCGGACTTGAGAAAAGTAAAAATATACTTTAATTAGTCAGGTGTTAGAATAGCTGAAATTATTCAGCTATTATTTTTCCTTTCTTTTTTAAATGTCAAAACTAATTTGTGGTCAACATTATCCATAACCCTAAGCATTTGCCACTGGTTTCAAAAGAATTTACAACAAAGAATGCCTGACAATTGCCAAAATTATACGGTCAACATTGCAGGTAAAAAATGACAGAGTTGGACCACAGAATTTCCTAGACTTGAGTGGAGTCCCAAAAGGAAAATATTCATGGAAAGCTTTGATATTTTACTTTGGATTGCTCCTTTGAGCACTAGATCAAATAGCACTCAAACGTTTTCAAGATGCACAGAAAGTCCACATGCGCCCCAAATCATCTGTGCATTGACTACAGGATGCTGTGGTTAGTCCGGCTGAAGCTCCATCAGCCACCTTCACGTTCAGAGTAAACAAATAACTATGCTGGCCCTTGCACAGAAACCCTGGCAAACCCTGAGGGGGCTGTAACTTTGAATTAAAGGAAACCACAAGCCAGAAAACTCCTTACCATAAACATGTTTACATTTTATCTGCCTGGGGGATGCAAAAGGAGTTTGAGTGACTTATAGAGCTGTTGCCCATGGTGTGGTTAGTGCAACCTAGAGTGTGTGGGGGAAGCGGACGGGGGAAATGTGATCAGAGGATCCAGCCACAGGCAGCTAGAGGCTCAGAAGGTCCAAGACAAACTTGGGCTTGGATGGTGCAGTATTATACCATCTGTTGGGTATGCGAGGGGAGGGAAGGACCCTTAAACAAGTAACAGGTGTCACTCAAAGTGACTCAGGTCTAGAGAAGATTGCCTCAAGTCTGCTTTATGATCACCAAGAGTGTCAATCTGAATATAGGAAACGATTCACAGAATCCTGCTAAAGGTTTCTCACTAAAAGTCTTACTGAGCATCTTAGGGTAGAATGGATTGCACTGAGTAACAAACAGCAAAAACATTACAAGTGTCTGTGAATTGGCAATGACATTTCAATTCCTAACTCCTGCTTAATTCTTCCAGTGTAATGAACTAATTTTTTTTTTAAATGTAAAGTAGTTGAGGCAGTAGCAAATATTCCCCTACCCTTTGCTGGGTAATTAACTGGGCATAAATGAGCCAATAGGAAGCCAGCTCCCTGCTTACTAGAGAAGCATGCCCTGCTAAGAGGGGCAAGGCGGGGAGGACCACGAGAGCTCAGAGCCCGGACCACAGCCCAGGGCTCCTGTGGGCTATGTGCAGACGACTCCCCCAGGCTTCATCCCACTCCTTCTGCTCTCCCAGCACCTTGATAGAGACTGGCTTTGGGACAAGTCACATCATGAGCTCCACTCGCTACTACATCCATCCGTAGGGAAGGGATGCCTGGACCATTAGGTACACTGTCCCAGGTTAAGAGGTCAGAGAATGCAGTTTCTATAAGTTAGAGCCACTTTCTTCTTTGTTCATGATGCCTATTACATAGCTTATTTGCTTTTTAAAGTGCTTGATGCTGAGTGTGAAATGCCAGAGGACCATGGGAGTGAATTGTCGGGGAAAGGGAATATTCCTCTGGCTGGTTCCTAGGAGCTATTTTGCAATATGGAGCAGTGCTTTGTGCTCCCAGACAATTAGACTCTCCATAGCTAGTCTGGGGGATGGATCTGGGGAATGGGTGTGGGAGGGTGGAGTTGGGGGGTGGTGCGAGCTGGGTGCATGATTTCCAGCATATCATCTGGGATTTGGAGCAGGGCTCAAAGTATGACACTAAAATGTTAGGCAAGGAAACTGGGCAACACAGGAAGATTAAGCAAAAGTTGCCTGGGATATCCTAGAAAGTAGGAGGACTTAGAACCAGAGATAAGAACTAGAATCCAGGCTATCATTTCCCATTTGTGTAACCTTTGACAAGTGTCATAACTTCTCTAAGGCTCTGTTTCCTCATGTAGAAAGTGAGGATAGTAATAATCTCATACAGATGTTGTGAGAATTAAGCACATACACTGAGTGGCCAGATTATTATGACCACCTGACGTTTGTAGGCAAATTAGCTATAATTTTGTGCTGAAGTTGCTAGAGGGCCAGATCATGATAAACATCTGAATAGCACAACATACCTAAGTATCGTTGCTGATCAAGTTCATCCTATCATGTTGATGGCGTATCCCAATGGAGATGGCTTCTTCCAATAAGACAATGTGCCATGCCATGGTGCTTGTATTTTGCAGGAGTGGTTTCAAGAACATGATGGAGACTTTACCTTGCTTAGGTGGCCCCCACAATCACCAGATCTCAATCCAATTGAGCATTTGTGGGACAAAGTTAAAAGAGCCATCAGGCAGTTGGTTCCACAGCCATCAGATCTCCCAGAACTGGACAGTGCTATCCATCGGGCATGGTGTCAGATTCCTCGCATCACCTTTCAACATCTCGTGGAGTCAATGCCAAGAAGAATCGCCGCAGTATTGAAGGCAAAAGGTGGCCCAACGAAGGACTGATGGGGTGGTCATAATAATCTGGCCTCTCCGTGTATATAAAGCACAGAAGCTCAAAATAAACACTTTTATTCTACTAGAGTGTAAGTTCCTTCAAAGCAAAGAATGGACCTTAGAAACACAACAATGGCCACATAGAAAATTGTTTAACGAATAAAAAAACACACAACCAACTTATTCCAGACCTATCCCCAGGTGAGGATGAGGTTGCTAGTCCATACATTCTCATTCTTACTCCTCAAAGTGAAGTTCATGAGCTATTCACATCACTTGGAAACACAGATATCTGATCCCACCTCAGACCTAATGAATCAGAATATCCATGTTGGCCTGATCCCCAGGGGGGGTGTTTGCCCATTGAACTGGGAGACACACTGCTCACTCAAGGTTGACTGAAGGATGGCATCTCATAGCTCCGGCTGGCAGGGGCTGAGGAAGGCAGGAACTGGCAGGCAGGGTCCAAACTGATTCCTTAAACTGTGACCACTGTGTGCCGAGGCTTGGGCAGATGGCCAGGACACAGAACCTCATCGGGCCAGGCAGGGGCAGTCTGCAGATGGCGAGGGTGTGTGAGCAAAGGCTGAGTTTCACAAGGCAATGCCCAGAGGTCCAGGAGGCCAGAAGTCAAGCCCAGGGAACCCAGGTGAGAGAGAAGCTAAAACAGGTTATGCTGGTCTAGAGGGCCAGAGTCTAGGGAACTAGGAGGCTGGGAGAAATAGAAAGCAGACGATTCTACCAGTACTTACGGAGCTGCTTATGGGTAAGACAGAGAGCGAGTGCTTATTTTAGGAGAAGTTGCTCCTTGCCCTGGTCTCACCCCCTTCAGCAGGTAGGTGGCTGTGTCCTTAGAGCTGTGTCTGTGGTCAGAGGGGAGCTCAGCATCATGATGCGCTTGCTCCTTCTGAAGGCAGGTGTGAGGCTTGCTGGAAGGTTCCTCTGTCCTGCTGACACAAAGAGACTACTGTCAAAGGTAGAGAAATGAACATTTCAGGGACTATTTTTGAAAGTTCTTTGAACAAAGGGACAGGATGTCCCAGGATCCTTTGCTCCCACCATAACACTGTGTGTGTTCAGAGACCAATGGGCTGCTTCCCGGGAGACAATGAGCTGATCCCTCAGTAACCCAGACAGCACTGTCTCGGGAGCAGCGCAGAATCCTACTATCTGAGGATGTCAGAAAAGGAGCCTTCAATCTTTTTTTTATCCATAGAGCCTTGTCTTCCAACCCTATCTTACTCAGATCCCCAACATTTGCCATGGATATTAGAAAGCTATTCTTATTGAAGCAGAAGTTGGAGCCCTGAGGCATTCTCTTCCACCCCTACTCCCCAACACCTCCTGAGTCCCCTTGGAGGAACCCCCTGGTTCCATGGGCCAGTTTGAGAGGCACTGCTGGGCACCAGTCCTATCATTATACAAATGAGGGACAGGAGCCCATACAGAAAGGTCTCCCATGACCTGGCATTGGCTCATCTCACTACCCACGTGACTCCCCGTACTTTGGTCATGTGAACTTTTTTCATGCCATGCCTCGGAACATGCCATGCCCTCCCTCTCTGCTGGGCCTTTCTATGTGCTATTCTTTCTACCTGAAATGCTCCCTGCTCCCTTCCATACCTCCCACCCCACTCCTGCCTGTCTGACTCCTGCATAACCTGTGGATCTCAGCAGAAGCTGTCTGTTCTATTCACCATCCCAGCAGTGTCTGGTCAATGGTAAGTGCTGTGTCTCTCTTTTCTGAATGAGTGAATGATCACCTTACAGGAGCCTCACTCCAGAATTGCCTACCAGCTCTGAGTTTAGGAATGGGGACAGCCTTTCCACCCAGATATGGGGTGGTCCTGGGCAAAACCTTGTCCAATCTGTGTCAATTCCTTCCCAGAGCGTTCTGATGGGTACACAACAGTGTTAGGTTGAAGATCCAGGTAATGGGCAACGTGTGTTTAGGAAATGGGAAGTGAGCAAAATGTGTTTAGAAAATGTTGGTAGGTTCAGGTGACAGCTGCCTTCAAAGGGGCCACAGACAGTTATTGGGAGATATCTGTTTCCTATGAGGACAATTTCCAGATATCACCCTGACCTCTGCCACCATGAGAGTCTTAAATCTGACTGTCTTCTAACACCAGGAACCGTATTTGACCTTCCTGGTAGATAATCTTCCCAAAGTTCCACAAGGAATTATTCACAACTTCCCTTATGCCAAAATATGGCCATAAAAATAGTGTTTGGTGTTTTTCAGGCTTCTCTGTAGCGGATGAATGAATGTCTTCAAGAACACCCATCTGACAGAGGGGGGAAAAGCTAAGAAAATATGAATTAATGTTGCACTAAAATTTTCCTGAGCATGTGCAGCTACAAATACTAAACCAACATATTCCAACATTGTTTCTCCCCATTAGTATGTAGGCAGCAAGTTGTTAGGAAGAACTAATGATCCCTTTAGAAAGTGTCACCCCAAACATTACTTGTACAAGCTTTGTAGAATGACTCAACAGGTTAACTCAAGTCTCTGCTTAAGCATCCTTTTATTTAAAGTGACCCTTCCTGGAAAACAGGTTTTTAATTAAAAAGGAAAATCATATTTGCATCCCTCGAAGATAAAGGAGATAAATATGGACTATTTAATTATCTGCATTCTCGGTCTGTTTCTGCTTATCTTTGGCACCAGTTACAAAGCAAACCTTCCTGAAAGGGTAATTCCTCCCACAATAATCCTTTCCAATTACACAGGCCTTGGCAATTTATAAAGTTTGTTCACATGTATGATTTCATTTCATCCCCTCCACAGCCCCATGAGGCAGGTATAACAAGAATTCGAGTTAACTTCATTTTGTAAATGAGATGCTGAGGCCATGGCTGCATGACTTGCTCACGGTCATGCTGCTAGCTGGGACTCAGCCAGACCTTGAATCCAAGGTTTGTGATCCCACGTCTGTGTCAGAGTTATCGTCATCAGGTAAACTATGGTTAGGCCGGCCTGATGTCTGAGATCATATTGCAGAGGCACCTGGAAGGTTTTCCAGTGCAGTGGTTGTCAAACTACACCTCTTAGAACCCTCAGGCTCCATCATGGCGCTTAGGAAGCCATGACCGGGAAGGTGAGAAGACAGACAGGTCCTGGGCTCCTATCCCAACCAAGGAGCTCTGTTTCTATGTCTCATCTACTGGTGTTTCAAGTAAAAAATTTTTTGAAGAAAGTAGCCCACTGTTTCAAAAAAAAAAAAAGTTTGAAACTCTAGTAAACTAGTTCAAACCTCTTATTTTACAGATTGGAAAAGACCCATAAAGATCCTATTAATTTATCCAAGTTCACATCCAAGTAAAAGCAGAAACCCGACAAGTCTCTCCATGTTCAGTTAAGCCTCTCATTACCGTGTTGTGTCTATATCCACATTCTCAAACGTTAGTGTGGAGCAAGGTCACCTGGAGGGCTTGTCACAGACCTCTAGGTCCTGCCTCCCAAGGCTCTGAGTCAGTAGGGCTGGAGTGGGTCTGAGGAGCTTCCATGTGAGGCTGAGGCAACTGAACCACTTGTCCACAGGACACAAAACAACTGATAAGTCAACTCAACTGACCAACTAATTGTACACTTTATCAATTTTATTTCATTCTGGGAAAATGGCTAAAGGAAATTCCTCCTTCAGAACTTCTAAACACATTGCCTAGGCACCTGGCACTGATATCCTATCACACCCAAGACCCTAAACCCTCGTGTAGGAGATGACAGTGATGCCCCAGCCCATGTCTCCTCATCCAACCGAGTTTATCTGCACCTGCAGTGGGCAGTTTCCACACACGCAGCCAGCTCATGATTCTTTGGTGTTTCTGTCTGAGGACATTTTTTTAACTAACAAGAGCTTGCTCAGCCCACAAGTGTGTGTGTGTATAACTAATCCCCCACTTTCCAGGGCATCCTTTAAACAACGAGGACATGAATCTGTGGATAGATATGCCAGCATCCCTATCCCTCAGTGGGATGTTTGAAACCTCCTCAAATGACTCCCCAGAGGGGCCCTCATGAGACTGTGCCCCGCTTTCCCAGAGCAGTAACTCACTCATTAATGCCCCCTGTATTGGCATTTCTCCCTTTCTATCCACTTCCTCTCCTTCCTCATTTGTTTTTCCTGGGATCGCTTCCTAAGTAAACTATCTGCATCCCAAGTTCTCATCTCAGGGTCTGCTTTTGGGGGAACACAGATGAAGACACTGTCTCAAAGTTCTTCCCAAGGTCACAGGAGCTTCACCTTCCAGTTCTGTTCACCTGTCAGTTCCATCCCCTAGGGTTGCATTCACAGGTCTTCGGGCTGTACTCGATGGGTGTTGATAAACAAATAGTACAATTGATAGTTGCTGTGTTAACAGTAGCAGAAATACAGGCTGTTGAATCATCTGCAAATTCTCATGACTCATAAATTGTATACTTAGCAGTCACTTTTTTCAAAGGAGGCCCAAACCCCTCAGTCAGATCTGTGAAGAATGCCAGCTTTTTAAAAGCCTGGCATTATGTGTATTTTTCAGGGCATCACTATGAAAAGCACCTGTCAGTTCTGAGATGGAGATAAATTTCCTTTTGTCCTGGTAAAGCAAGATTAACCTTCAGCAAATATTTACATTTGAGGAGTGGAGTTTCAGCAGTGGTGGCATCAGCATTTGTCAAGCTGCAGTGTAAACTGCAATGAAAAAAGAAAAAGAAAAAAATACGTGGGAAACAATTAAATTCTTCTCACATTGAAGCTAAATAATAGAGGCAGATCCTATAAAAAATAATTAAATCGATCAAACTTTATCCTAAATAATATAGCTATTTCATGTGTTTCATCCCACTCATTGTTTGTGTATTAATTTTTGCCTTAATATGAAAAACAGTTTTATTGAAGGATAATTAATATATAATAAGTTGCACACAATTAAAGTACACAACTTAATAAATGTTCAAATATGTATGCAACCATGAAACCATAGTGCTGACTTATTTTTAAAAGCAATACTATTGAGTTTTCAGTCTATATTATTTCAATATCCAATTTCAGGAGTGATCCATTAATTATCATATTTATGCTATGATTCATTATTGGCTAAAAGCTCTTTACATTACTCCCTATTCAAAATGGTTAAATGAGTATGCTCAAAATAATTGGTTGGCCCAGTTCTTCAAGAACTTATGAGGCATGTCTGGCAAATAATAATAAAAGTTACCACTTACTGAGTATCTATCATAGCCACGGTCTAATTTGAGTTCTTTATATCATTTGTAATGTTCACAACAATCCTATGAGGTACGTATTGTTACTCCTATATCACAAGTGAGCAACTAAGACTTCGAGATATCAAATGACGTGAAGACATTTACATAGCTAGAACATGACAGAGCTGGTAACTATTTTATTCCATATGGTAATATTTTCCAAACTGCTAATTTATTCATGTTTTATTTATTCAACAAATATACACCAGGTCCAGGTTAGATGTTAGAGATACAGCAGTGAAGGCGGCTGACATGGTTCCAACATCATTAAGTTTACAGCCATCACTAAGTGTGCAATCACACAAATAATTGATTTCAATTGTTATGAATGCTTTCAGGAGAAGTACAAGGTATTGGAACAGCATGCATCTGGGGCCTGATCTAGTTTCAGGGCAGGCAGCTAGAGGAGGCATCCATGAGGAAGTAATGGTTAAGCTGAGACCTGACAAATAAGTGGGTCTATAGTTTTAAGTAGGAGCAGTGACATGATCAGATTTGCAAAACTGATTATGGGAAAGTCACTGACATAGGAGGGAACATGGCGGGGTGTGTGGGTGGGGGGGGGGGGGGGGGGGGGGGTTTGCGGGGACGGAAGGTGGTGGAGTGTTCCTCAAGAATTGCAAACTACAAACTCCGTCCCCAAGCAGGTTTGGAACCAGTATCCACATGCTTATGTAGCACAAGAAAACTTCACACCTAAATATGATTCAGAGTGGTTCTAAGTTGGTTAATGGTCTCAGGCATTTACTAAATGCAAACTTCCTGGAGAGAAACCATTAAACCAAATTTCAAAAAGTTCTCACATACGAGGTTTCAATAACCATGAACTCACAATCAGAAAACCAGGAAACAAGCTAACATGAGAAAGCATTAGCCAAAACAGCAAAATACAGAATCAGAACCAAAAAGACTGCAGATATTAGAATTATCAGCTTCAAAATATAAAATAAGTTTGCTATGTTTAAAGAAATAAGAATATCAAAAGTATGATTAAGGGACAAGATATTTAAAAATTCATCAGATAGATTTGAAAAAGAACCAGGCAGAATTACTAAAAATGATAAATGCAGATAAATAGATTTCTCTTAAATAGGTTGCACACATTTTCTTACAGGTATGTTGCTCCTGTTTAACCTGATCTGTGGTAGTTCTTGTCACTCCTACATTTTTTGCTCTTTCGAGGTCAAATCTGCCCATCAACTTTTGATGGCAAACACACAATACAATATACAAATGATGTATTATAGAAATGTACACTTGAAACCTATATAATTTTATTAACCAATGTTATCCCAATAGATTTGATTTTATCAAATAGATTTGATTTATCAAATAGATTTGATCAATGTTATCAAATAGATTTGATTTTTTAAAATCTGTCCATCATTTGCCTTTATGGCTTTTGCAGTTTGTGTCTTGCTTAGGAAGGCTTTTCCCATTCTGAGGTTATTTTAAGAGCCCTCATTTTTAATGTTTATTAATTCACTTAAATCTGGATTTTATATTAAGACTAGAGGCCCAGTACATGAAATTCGTGGATGGGAGGGGGGGGGCGTCCCTCAGCCCGGCCTGCACCCTCTCTAATACAGAATCCCTCGGGGGATGTCCAACTGCCAGTTTAGGCCCAATCCCGCAGGGCATCCCTCTTGCAATCCAGAACCACTGACTCCTAACCACTCACCTGCCTGCCGGCCTGATCCCCCTAACTGCTCTCCTCTGCCAGCCTGACCCCTAACTGCCTCTGCCTTGGCCCTGCCACCATGTTTTGTCTGGAAGGATGTCTGGTCTAATTAGCATATTACCCTTTTATTAGTATAGATAGGAGTCTAAAGTTATTTTTAATAGATTGTATTTGGAAATTCCAACACTGTTTACTAAATAAACCTTTCTTTCTCAATAATTCAAAATATCAGTTTTCACAGGAACTAATTTCTTGTTATAGTAGATGAGAATGTAATTGTCTTTCAACTTATGGCCTCACTTACTCCCTCCTCTCTCTTTCCAATTTTTAATTAAATCATTAGCCTCTATATAAAGAAAAAGCATGCAAATATTATGCACTGTGGAGGCAGGTAGTTACTATGACTATTATTCCTTTCTTGAACAACTCTTTTTTATTTTTCCAGGAGTTAATAATTACCTTGTTATTTTTAGTTGCACAGTTCCCTATGAATCTATTCAAATGCTTGATTGAACTTGTCAAGCACCTATTATTATTTTTTTCTAACTGCTAAAGTTTATCAGTTGATCTTTCTACTCCATGTTTCCCTGGCAATCTGCCTCTGAGAGCTCTAGTTCTCCTGCTCCGGTAGGGGCTCATTACCCTCCAGGCCTACTGCACAGCATCACACTGGCATTTTCTTTACTACTTTCTTGCGCTGGATCCCGCAAATGGCAGTCTGTGGAGAGTTTTTTATTTCACCTCCTGCCTGGGAGCAGGTACCTGATGGCTATTTGGAAGTATGATTTTCTGGGAGTAGATCTAGTGACTCACCATGGGACGTGTCTCACAGACCCAACGTTTCTGTCTGCCATGTTGGCTCAGGCCTCTTTCCTCCTCTCTTGTCTCCCAGCCTCCAGTCTCTCCCCATCCCATTCCTGCCTAAAACAATCACGGTTCCATTCATCCTTCTGAAGTCTTGCTTTTGGCACGCTAGGAAGCCTTCCGCCACTTCCAGTCCCTCAGGATAAAGTCTGAGCTCCATATTGCCATCTCCACCTGTTCGTGCTCATGCTGATGCGCAGCTGGGCACCATCTCAAGAGAGTCATGGGCCTGAGCCCAGTGGTGGTTGTGCAGGGTGGGCTGTGTGTGTCTTTTCTGCCCAGACCCTAGCACCATGTGTGGAGTGGCCTGGCTCTAGAAAGAACGGTGTTAGGGCTGCATTTGTTGCAAAGGGATAAAAATGTACATCCTAAGCTTTATATAGAAAGCCTAGCAACTCGGCCCTTAATTGGTTTGTGAAGAAATATCAGTGATTGCCCTGGCCGGAGTGGCTCAGTTGATTGAGTGTCATCCCATGGACTGAAAGGTCACTGGTTCTATCCCCAGTCAGGGCACATGCCCAGGTTGTGGGTTCAACCCCTGATGGGGGGGGGGGGTGCATGCGTGACAATCAATATTTCTCTTCACATCAATATTTCTCTCTCTCTCACTCACTCTCTCTCCTCTTCTCCCTCTAAAAAGCAATAAAAACCCATTTTCAAAAAAGATTTATGTGAGCCTGGCGATTCAGCTATCACAATAACTTAGAGGTTTGATGCTGCATGTGTAATTTGACAAGTGCACAGCATAACGTGCTCTGAAAAGGGTGGTCATTTATTCATTTATCCAAACAGTCACTAAATATCTGCTGAGCATCTATAACTCATCAGGCTCAGTGCAAGGCTCTGGTACTGCCTACACCCTTACAGAGCTAACAGATTAGCAGAGTGAGTCATTACCAGGGCAGAGAGAGCTGTAGATGGGAGATGACGTGCATTCTGGTGGACATGACTGCCCTGCCCATGTCCTCTCAGCACTCAGCAGCGAAGGCGAATGCTCTTCATGCAAGAGACTCTCCAGCCAAGTGAGGACTCCCCTACTCCACAGAGGGCAGGAGCACACTCAGCCCCTGCAGAGTGCAGGCCATAGTGGCTAGGAAATCAATGCCCTAAGGAGTCATCCTCAACCATTGGCAAATGAGAATGGAGAACTCACTACCCAGCTTCCTCACCCTCGAGGTAGGACAACTCTGATGGTGTTCCATGCTGACGTAGCCTGGGCGGCCATGACAAAATGCCACAGACTGGGTGGCTTAACCAATAGAAATGTGTTTTCTCAGTTCTGAAGGCTGGGCGGCTGAGATCTGGGTGCCAGCACGTTGGTTTCTGGTGAAGTCTCTCCTCCTGGTTTGTGGGCAGCTGCCATGTCACTGTGTGCTCACATCGCCTCTTCCTTGTGTGTGTTCTCAGAAAGAGAGAGGGAGAGCCCATGTGAGCTCTCTGGAGTCTTTTCTTACACACACAGTAATCTCATTGTAGAAAGCCCTGTCCTAAGAGCTCATTATAGACCAGCGGTTCTCAACCTGTGGGTCACGCCCCCTTTGGCGGTCGAACGACCCTTTCACGGGGGTCGCCTAAGACCATCCTACATATCAGGTATTTATATTATGATTCATAACAGTAGCAACATGACAGTTATGAAGTAGCAACGAAAATAATTTTATGGTTGGGTCACAATATGAGGAACTGTATTTACCCAAGGGTATGTTTTTCATTGATTTGAGAGAGAGAGAAAGAGAGAGAAACTCTGATGTGAGAGAAACATCCATCAGTTGCCTCTGAACACACCCCGCCCGGGACTGAACCCACAACTAGGTATGTGCCCTGACCAGGAATCAAACCTGACATGCACTGGACAACACTCCAACCAACTGAGCTAC